AAAAAAAGTCATAGTATAGCATGTAGAAAAGTCATAGTATAGCATGTAGAAAAAGTCATAAAAAAGTCATAGTGTAGCATGTTGAAAAAAATCTTAACAAGGTTATAGCGTAGTATGTTGACAAAAACGTCATAGTATAGCATGTCGAAAAAATTCTCAAAAACGTCATAGAAAAACAGTCATAGTATATAGTACAGGGGTATTCAGTTAAAGTTCAACGAGGTCCAGTTGGAAAATTTCCTCATATGTCTAACTTGTTCTATGATTTAGTCCCACATACGTATATATTGAAGTAGCCTAACAGTTGTATTAACGTCTGTATGTAGTCAACAAATAAAGTTTAAATGAATAATATCTCAACAATATTCATCGTCAGATTTCAGATTGAACTGGATGAATTATAAATAATACATACTCCAAGAATAAATAAATGTTTTCTCATCTTCTAATAAGAGAAATGTGTGTGCAGGGACTTTGTCTGTGGTTATTGAAACCACTCGTTTCAGCTCTATTCCACTCTGGTAACATCATTGTCGGTCAGTGCGCCGGTTAAAATAGAAGCGTTTCGTCAAAATTGATTATTCTCAATTAGGTCCAGGGTCCGGATACACTATTAGTGACCCCTGGTAAATGTCGAAAAGATTCTTAGAAACGTCATTGTATAGTGTGTCAACAAAGTCATAGTATAGTACGTCGAATTAAGTTTTACAAAGGTCATAGTATAGGTAGTGGAAAAAGTCATAGTATAGTATGTCCAAAAAAATGATTGCATAGTATGTCGGAAAAGTAAAAGAAAATCATAGTATAGTATGTTGCAAAAAAATTTAATTTAAAAAAAGTCCCTAAAAAGTCTTCGTATAGTATTTCACAAAAATGTCATGAAAAGTTATATAGTATTCTATCAAAATGTTAAAGTGAAAGTATAGTATGTCCTAGAAATCTCATTAAAGGTACAGTATATAATAAAGTCATGGTATAGTGTTATAAAAAGTCACAGTATGCCATAAAGAACAACACATAATATACAATTAGTTTGTAAAAAGTCACAGTACCAAACTATAAAAATACTCTAAAAGTCCTGCATTCAAAAAAAATACTTGCAGTAATAGCAACAATTTATACTTAAAAGTATCAAAAATACTGATTAAGAATGCCCATCATGTCAGTGTGCACGTCATAAATTACTCTTTGATGTAGCTGGTCGAGGTGGAGCTTAAATATACACTGCAGGGTAGTTCAACTGTAAAGTATTGTGTATATTAAAGCTCAATCTAAAAAAGGTAACTAAAGTAGAGGAGTCAGAAAAAATGTAGTGCAGTAAAAATTGTTATCTAGTCAGACACAAAGTAAGAAGTATTAGAAAATAGTACAACAGATCAAATCAAATACCACACTTTCAGCCGGCACTGTTGAAAACTCTGTATTTATTAATGATTTACAAAAAGGCTAAACATGAAACCATTAAGATGACTCAGTTCATTTCAAACTTAAAAAGGAGTTGTTGTTGTGGGTGGGAGAGGCGGTAGTAGTGTAGTCTGTAGTGTTTTACAGCTCAGTTATTTTAACAGCATCTTATCTCATCATGTAGAATCTTTTTTTAGTGGAGGCTCCCGGAGAGAAGAAATTAAATAAATCCACACACAGGATGGAGTCAAACTGCAGACGAGAGATACATTTGAAACAACTATTTTCCTATCTTTGTATTTTAGAACCGGGGGACATACCAGGGTCTGAAGGGTGGTCTTTCTCTACATCAGCAGTGTTGTATACAATCACAATTCTGTCACCTTGACTCCGGTCCTACATTTAAAATAAAAAAAAAATAAATAAAAAAAAAATCACCTGGATCTCCCTGAACTACAGCTGGTGTAAAAATAGACAACTTTTTCTGTCTCTAATGCAGAAAACAGAGATTATCACCACAGTACGAGAGGTCCCAACTGTAATCCACTTCTCAAAACAGTTTGGAGAGACATAGTTAATAGTAAAAACAAGTTTTTGTGCAAGTATGTTTCTCCCCCCCCCCCACAAGGTTTGAAATAAATATCTCTCAAGCAAAAGAGGACTTAAAGAGTATTTCCTTTTTTTTATATTTATTGTGAAAACCAACAATCACATTGTGAGTAGAAGAAATCCTTTTTCTGGCTTGAATTTCAGGTACAATCAATCAAATTAATCACACACAACTCTGCAAAAAAATGACTATTAGATTTAAAATAAAATAAAATTAGAGTTACCTCAGATTTGGGCAGAACATTTAAAACATTAACTCCACTGACGGTAAGATGCAGCAGGGAGACAGTCCAGTTTTAGAAGTACGTCCTGATCGATTTTCCTGTGACCAAAATGCTGTTCCATCACATTAGTTTTGCAGTTTTTAGTCGCCTGGCAGGTTTCTACAGTAGTAAAAGAGTGAGACAGTCGTGGACCCAAATATTTACAGTAATGTTGTGCACTTAAAGATCTTTCTCCGACCGTACGATCCTCGTCTGGAGAATCTTTCAGAGTTGATCTAAAACATCACAAAAAAAAAATTAAAAAAAATCCCAATGCGTTCTTGCTACGGAATGAATTAACAGTGTTTCCACTTACTAACAATTTAATTCAAAAAAGCAAATAAAGATTGGTCTGGAGCTCAACCCGGCATTTCTGCTGGCAATTAAAAATGTGAAAACAACATGATGCAGAAAAAGAGCATTAAGATAACACCATAAAATTCATATTTCAGTGAGCTATTTAAAAAAAAAATTTAAACGAGAATAGACCTTTCTCCATCCCCTCGCCCCAAGAACCATTTTATAAACAAAAATATATCACCCTCTGTCGTGTGATTCTCAAATTCTCACTAGATACAATTAAAACTTTTTTTTACAGTGCTTCATCATTATATATCTTTGACAGACCTCAACAAGGGGAAGAACAACTTTAAGCCATAAATGTCTCTCCTATCGCAACGATACAGCTACGTCAAAAAAATGAACGGTCCAGTTATTGAACGATTAAAATAAAAAAATAAAAATGGGGAAAAAAACGCAAACGGAAGGAGACGGTCAGCGGCAGGGGGAAGCGAGCGCCGGGATCTCCTGACCCGGTTTTGTCCCACCCGCACCTTTAATGTTACCGTGGAGAGGTGGCGCTGGAAGGTGGAAGGTGGAAGGTGAGCGGCTTGGGTCGACTACTTGGTGTTGAGCTCGTTCTCCAGCTCCATGAGTTTGCGCGAAGCCTTGACCTTGTTGGAAACCTCCTTCCCCTGAGAGAAGAGACGCTGGCGCTCCTTAAACGTCATGCTCTCGGGGTTGCCGCCGGGGATCGAGTTCTCCTGCTCCTGACTGCAGATTGTGTCATGCAAAAAGCGTTTCATCATATTATTCATTGGTACTTAAATAATCTGCATTATTGTTAATGAGCAGATTAATCTATGATGAACATAATCGAGTCAAGACTTTCACATAAAACTCTTAAATTTGAACATAAACTGGCAGCTTAACATTTGAAATAAGCAAGAGGATCCTTTAGATTGGAGTCTTTGGTCATGTGGTGTACTCAGCAAAGTCTTGCACCTTTTAGCTGTGGTGACCGTGCGACACATGATCCTTTCTCGACTCTTGTGGAAAATGTTTTGCTGTTAAAGTGTTACCAGCTTGTATCACAACGCATTAGCCCTTGAAATCAGAAACCAGGGGAAAGAATAAGAAGAGTCTCACCTTTTCGTCCATTTGTCCCGCGGGTCGTTGTAGACTTCTCCGGATCCTACAACTCCTGCCGAGTTTCCAGTGTACGAGTTAAATCCTGTCCGAGGTTCAGGAGTCACACAGCAGACAGACAGACAGAGCAGATACGAGTCAGCATCGTTCATATTACAGCTTTTGTTATCCGAAAATATCCCAGATAGAAGCTGCCGGCTGCCGGATGTCAAGATCTCTGCTACACGTCTCCCAATTACTCCCATCATTAACAAGGAATCACAGGCATTACAGTGGACAACTACGGATTATTTTCCCATTATATTGTTGAACATCAAGCAGAGAGCTCCAGCAACCAGCAGCTTCTTCAGTCGTCACCACTTCATTTCCCACAGACCAGCCTGAGCAGAAGGAAGAAAGAGAGGGAACTGGTTCTGGAGAAGCATTAAGGCAGAAACGATTAGATCTCATTAAAGAGCGGCAGCAAGCCAAGAAAAGAGAAGGCGTTAAAAAGCTGTTAAAGGGCCATTCCAAAGCAGCAGAAATGGTCTGTGGATGTGCCGATGGGATCCGAGGCCGAGGTCACCGTCACACATGTCTGACTGCTGAAGATCTGGAGCCCGTTTGTCCGGAATCATCTAAAAAACACCCGTGTTCATTCTAGCACTATTTTCCTTCCAACTGTTTTATTTGTCATTTAGATCCAATATTGAATGAAAACAATCAAATGAATCAGTTACAGTAGAAGTTATTTATAATAATTAAAATTAAATATTTAACATCAAAATCATGCCAACTGGTAAAGGAAGAGCTCCCGTATGAGCGTTACTATTATAACCCGTGCTCGGTTAAAGTCTGGAGGCACTAACACAAGGAGGGTGACCCACGACCTCTGACCCCAAAGAAGACATTTATCATGTGTCCCTGTGTCTTCTCCAAACCCCTCGCAACATCCAGCCTAAAGCGAGACACAGCTGTTGCCACATCTGCCCGACTGGATCACAACTATGTTTTGAAAGTGAAACTAGATATTTGTACGTTTTTTTTTTTTTTTTTTTGTTTTTTTTTAAAGGTTTACGTCTTTGAATAATCGGGAAGTTGGTCACATTCTGGGTTTTGGTCTTTTTATGGGGTTTGTTGACAGACAGAGAAATAAAGAATGATGCCAGTGAGCAGGAACTAATCAAAATGATGCGTTTGAATTGAGAGGATAAAACAGAGACTTCAGATTTGGTTAATGGCACAATATTTTACATCACAGGCTGAGAGGAAACACTGGATCCAAACAGTCAAGAAGAGATCCTCTCTATGGTTGTGCACATTTTTGAAAGCAGTGGTTGAATCCTACCGGATGACCCAGGAACAACCCAGAACTTCAGTCATTAAACATCTCAACTCTACTCGGTTGCGTTTAAAAGAAGTCCAAATGCATGTTGGGTCTGGTGTTTCAGATGAAATGGAAGTTAGTACAGTTCAGACACAGTGACAGGGTGTGAACCCAGATGGATTCATCCAGCTGGCAGCTCCTAAGCCCTCTAGTTTGGCTTTTATAGGTCTGAAGTGTAGTTTGGGATGGGATCCCACTTCAGCCCCAAAACCACATGAACACAAACTGGCAGAGAACAAAGTAACCGCAGAGAAACGACCCTCGTTCAAGGCCAGTGACATTCCTCTGAGGAGCCAAAAGAGATGGAAAATGATACTTCTGGCACTGCAATTGAAAAATATCAAGATTTTTTTTACAGATTCTCAAAGGTTGTGGATGTTTTCCTTTGATTCTGGTTCAGTTATCTTAGAGGCCAGTTGAGTCTAAATAAACTCACTGCTTTTATTCTACACCAACACGCAGTTTGAGTTACAACATCCATCTCTGGGGATCATTTCAATTTGTTTTTCTTTTGCTGCCGTCTCCGCTTCGTGCGCCTTCTGAGCCGCACTGGCAGCCGTGTTGTTTTCTCTCGCGGTTTTTATTCCGATTACAAAAATATTTGCGCTTGAAGAAGAGCCCACAGTCGGAGCTTTGGGAGCTGCCAGCTCAAATCACACTCATTTTAATACATTCTGGAGATCAATATGTCGGGGGCAGCCAGAGACTCAGGTGCCGTTTGGTCACCTGAACCTGCCGCAATGCCCTTTGGGAGTTGTAGTAAGGTTTAGTAAAGCGGCAGCGTTAGACAGCAGAGACACAGACTGACGGGCGAAATGAAAGACAAGCTGGATCAGCTGAAACAGGCAGACGACAAAGCACGTACAAGGATTTCGAAAATATTGGAAAGGCAGATTAACAGACGGACCAACACAGAGACAGGCAAAGTGGGGAAAAGGAAGCAAATACATAAATAGAGATTTTAAAATAAGAAGGCAGCCTGGTGGAAGCTACGCACAGGCAGTAAAAGCAATAGACACCAAGCCGGTTACTCGGGTGAGCTGCTGGCAGCCAGAGTGCAGTGGGGTGTGTGTTTATGATTCATGGGTGTGTGGTGTGATGGGGGGGGTGAGACATGCAGATTTTTGTTTCTGAGGGGGGGGTGGGTGGGGGGGGCCGCGGGAGTTGTGGGGGGGTAGGTGGGGCATTAGTAAGATGTTCTTTTTTTCTGATTTGAGTGAATATGCAACACGAGGTTCTCCACGAGGCCTTGGATGTGTTTTAGTGTTCAATAAGCATCAGTGTAGGAGGAGGTTTATTGTGAAGGGGCAGGCAGTCGTTTCCTGGACCTCAGGTGGTGATAGCATTCAGGCTGTGCAGCATTGGTAGCTCTGTTTGTCTGTGGATGCTCAAATAGCAAGTTGTGTCTGCTTGTGACCATTTATAACTCAGGCTCTGCGTCATTTCACATTTTTCCGTAAGAGTAGCGATTTGGTACTTTACTTTGACATTCATGAACATTCATTTAACCTAAATCTGGAATCTGAATCGACATTTGATGCCATATTTCAGTTTTTGTTACTTTGCGCTACGTGACCCATTTGGGTCGATAACAGCAGTATTGGTATATTGAGGCTCAATAACTTGCTTTAATTAAAACAAGTTGTGTATTCATCAACTGTGAGCAGTTAATTTAAAGACTCATGTATTTAGATGCTTGAAGAAAAAAAGCTGCACAATATTTCACAAGAAAAAGGAAGATATAAGAAATGTTGGAAGAATGAACATAACTTTGTGTAGTTTTCCTTGTTTTATTTAAATAATTTGCAAAATGTTACAGAAAAGCCTGAAATTTGTATTAGAAACATGTTTTTACTGATGTCTCTTCTGTTACTCATTAACTCCTTGGATTTATCTTATGACCTTTTGTGGGGTCACAACTACTTATTAAGACCAAAGGACTGAACTAAAACTTCAATCGTCTTCAATCCAATGTCCAATGATTTTTGGCATACACCTAAAAAAGACCAAAGCCAAAACTAAATCTAACACCAGTGCGCTCAGAAATTGTATCTCAGATAAAATCATGGGAGCAAATAATACAGACAGCTGCCAACTGACTGCAGGTTAACCCCCCCCCACTGTTAGATATCACTGTCCAACAATGAGGCCTTTTGAAGAAAAGCAATGATAGATATCTTGGCATAACATTCCACAAGGATAAGAAGAAAAACAGCTCTTTAATATTTGATCTACGTTAAGAAAGACTTTGTTTCTTTTAGAGGGACCTGTGGCCCCAACATGACCTTTAAATTTTAAATATAAGCCGCTGTAATGATAGCTGCCACTAGGAGGCGCCGGAGTTTGAGCAGACCGAGTTACACAGAAGCTCAGAGTTTGACGACAAGCAGATTTAGACCTTTTAACAACAGCCACAGACAAAGAAGAGGCCTTTCACTCAACACACTGCTGCTGTGTGCATTTTTGGCATGTTAATGAAAAGAGAGCCGACTCTTCTTTTTGAGTGATTGATGGGTAGTGTGAAGCCAATGATGTGTCTCCTTCCCTTTAAAGCCAACACCGCTAAGCAGAGCCACGGGGCAGGCAGGGGGCAGGCAGGCAGACTGACGGCTGGCCCCGCCCCCTCGTCCCAAGCAGCGACAAACCAGACACAAAGGAGACGGCGAGCGACAACACCAACAGTACTATGATTGGCTTTGATGGGTCCCAATCTGCATCAAAAGTGGTGGCGTGATTATCGATTGCTTTTTCTGTTCGCTAGTGCTGATTGAGGGAGTGGGGGGGGGGGGTTTGTGTAGAGGAACATGTGGAGGGGATAATAATTACTGGGGGACAGGAGGTGTTCAATCAAATCAACATAAAAAAATTACAAATACAATGATTTGTTCGAAGAGAGAGAAAAAATATATATAAAATAACGAACATAAAGTGATGAACGGAGGGGACTGATTGACGACAAAAAAAATTTGGACAAACACGTAAAAGAAGGAAAAAGTAGACGGTGGAAATGAAAAAAGGCAGAACTCCTCTTTGCTAAAGGAAATAAAAAGACAAAGTAGCACTAAACTATGAAGGAGTGGGTAGTAAATGAAGAGATGAGTGAATGAGAGGGAGGTACGGGAGCTGTGGAGGGCGCGGTGGCGAGCCTGACTCCTCCTCCTCTCTCCTCTCTCCGGGTCTACCTTTAAAGCCTCCTGGGGGGACGGAGCTGGGTTTGGCAGGAAGGGGGGGACCTGTACTGTTGGAGTTGTTGAATGGCGGCTGGAACGAGCCAGACAGGAAGATGCCGTCAGAAAGAGGGCGGGGCTTGCGCGCAGTGGGCGGCGGATGTGGCCTGCTGTGATTGGGTGAGGCGGAGGCCGGGAGGTCGCCGTACGACTTCCGGGTCGCCGACAGCTTCACCTGACCTGATTGACTGCCGCCGCCGCCGCTGCCGCCACTGCCTGCTTTGGTGGCTTCCTCCTCGTCCTCCTCATCGCCCGCGTAGGAGACAAACTTGGCGGTGTAGAGCGTGTCGGGGGAGGCGATCTGGGTTTTGAGGTAGGAGGTGTTTCTCTGTGGGGGGGGCGGGGGGTTGTTAGTAGGGTTGTGGGGGGGTTGGTAATCCCAGGGCAGCGGGGGCCTATACAGACCGGCTGGCTCGTCAGGCGTCAGCAGCTTTCTCTCGGCCTCCTCGTGCTGCCGGCGCCGCTCGGCCTCCAGGCGAGTGTAGTACTCCTCCTCCTGTCTCCTCTAAGGGAGGGACAACCTGTTAGTAAGCTACACCCTTATTGGCTCTCACCTCAGTGTAGGACACTTACTGACTGATCAGCTACAGCTGGGGAAATATTCAACTAGTCAAAGAGCTCCACTACCCGGCTTCAACCACAGATAAAACCAGATCTGTCCACTATTCCAGATTCTTCTGGGCCTGACTACTCCTGGTCTAACTGGGCTGCCATACAGTATACAAGGATCTGTTACAGTACCAAGGATCTGTTACAGTACCAACACCAAGTCCACTATTTCCACCAGTTTCCATCATAACTGACACATACCGGTCCTAGATCAGGGGCCTCATTTATAAAATGGTCCAACAATCAAATTCCATCTTAAGCAATGACTTTAAGCAGAAATATACTACAATGTAACTTAATAAAAAACGTATTTTGATGTGAAAATTACCGTATATTTACAAAACGTCTGCAGCATTAATCTCCTGTTGGTTGCATTAAGGTTTGGAAGTGCATTTTTGCATTTCAGCCATTAACAGCAGAGTATTCTGGGATTTTAAACTAGGGACCTACTTAAGAACTTACTTTGAGGTGGAAATTATTACAAATTACAAAACCTCTTTATTGGTTACACGAAGGAATTTCCAGCTGGTTTTGTTGAGGTTTGGAGCAGCTTTTTATGACAGAGCTCTGCTTGTTCAAACAGAACTTCAATCAATATATAAGCTTACGTTATTAGTTACAGGGTTGAGGAATTAGTTGTCAAATTAAATTTCCTTTCACGCAAAAAAATAGGATGAGAGCTAGTGTGGAATAAACTGTGCATCATGTTTAAAAACACAGCTGCATTGGCGATATTCAGGGCTGCATTACTTTACTGAAAGTATAATCTGTGTATAATCAGCTGCTTTAGCCTCCTAAAACAGTTTTATACCACCAACAATCAGCTTAAGGATGCCATTTGAAATCATATCAGTATATTTTAGAATAATCCAAACAGTTTTATAAATGTTGCCCCTGAACTGGATTTGACCGAACTGGTTTTCAACAGATTAGATCTGGTCCTCCTGCACTTGACCCGATCATCTATAAACACCGGGGACGGCTGTGTAAATAAGTCCGGGCCTTTATCGTTTCATCCCCGACAAAGTCTAATATATGTATATATAAAAAGTATGTTGTCAATCAACCAGACCATAAATCTACTCTGACTGGTCCACAATACCTCAAAACTTGATCTGACACTTGGCAACTGTTTCTGGACTGTACAGTAATCCTTCCTGGACCACCCTGTCTACCACCATCTCCCGTTTACATCAACACTGCTCGAGTGTATGCATGTGTCTATATGTGCCTGTGTACCCTCAGTGTATACTATCGGGTTGTGGGGAGGTTCTTGTGATTTGAGCCCACCCTGTCTTCGCTGGCCTGTGATGAAGTTACACATTAAATCTACGCTGGAGGAATGTGTTTAGATTTCTGGGTTTGGAGCTCGACCAGCTGCTCCGGGTCACATGTGCTCAATCTTGATGCTTCTGATGTCAGATTATTAGTGCTGTGGATGTATCCGAGCTGCTTTTGATGGTTGAATCAGCCCAGTTGGAATCTAAAGAAACTGGGAGGGATTAGTGGGTGTGTGGGTTTGAATGACTGGCTGGGTTTCTGAATATGTACAGTATGGATGGCTGAGGGTGGGAATGAGGCACATTGGTGGGTATAGATTTATCTGTGTGTGTGTGTGTGTGTGTGTGTGTGTGTATGAACTGAATATAAAGCATGTGGGTTCTGGGAAAAGTGGGAGCGTGGGCGGCATTCCCTGAACATAGTTTCTGAAGCAATGATGAATGGGAATGGTAACAAAAAAGATAAATTAAAAACTCACAAAATCATAACTGCTTCCCCCCAAAAAACTGAAATAACTGAACTCCCTAACAAACACCGACAACAACAACAAGATGGGAGTCCCATGCTTGAGGTGGGTGGGAGCACATAACATGACACAGCAACACGTCACATAGGGTGGGGGGGTGCATAAGATGAGGACATGCAATTGGACATATTTACAATAAAAATAACAGCATCAGATTAACAGTTATAACATCTTAAAAACAACATTTCATTCTCAAAAACAGCAGTTATAAATGTATTAACAAATAAACTGACTTAATCAAACGAATATCTCTGAGATACTTCTGACTACCATGTTTCTGTTTTTCAAACCTCAGCAAGTCATTAAATCATGTTATCAGAGCTACACAAATGAGTAATATAAGGTAAATTTTAATGTGAGGTTTTTTTAAAGACCAGTGGTGTGATCAGTGGTCTACAGTTCACAGGACACATACGTCATAGGACAAGACACAATGACAAAAAAACGCTGAATATGTTGGATTTAACACACAAGACGAGGATGGGCAGGTGGACACCAGATCACACAACTGGTCATTTAATAACACCCAAAGTACAAAATAATGTCAAATTTGATTTATCGAAATATTTGTGCATTATATTACCAAATACAAATCAAGTCTTTAAAGCACACAGTGGCTTCGGAGAGTTTCATGTTGGCTGCACACTTTACTGTGTAGTATGGATTTGGTTTAAGGAGTAAATAATATTTAACAACATTTAACAACGTATTACTACAGGGAAAAAAACTAAAACCAAAAACTGAAATCTGTCCTTTTCATAACAAAGTTAAGCGAATTAGGCTCCGTTGCGCAAGTTATTTTGTATTTAATTAGTTGCCAAAAAGTAAATTTAATAAATGTTTTATTGAATCTATAACACAGTAAAGTGTGTAGCAGGTGAAAGGGTCTGAATACCTTCCGAAGTCACTGTGGACCCTAACGTTGGAATGATACTTTGGGCTGATACATTCATTTTTTTTTTTATTCCATATGAGCCAGTCAATGTCATCTACCGCTGATATAATGGGTGTGAAGTTGTAATTTCGTATTTTTCCCAAAATATTGAACTATTCCTTTAAACATATATTATTGACAATCTTAACTTCACACAGATATCTTAACTCTTTGAGAGTAATGAATACCATTTTAAGGGTTTTCCCTGCTGACAAAAAGGAAAATAATCAGGAGCGGACATTTTAAAGATGCTGAAAGATGTAAAATCTCATTGTGGTCCAACACGGACTGATAGATTTCTTCCCTCTCCTGTCCTATTATATGGTTTGGCTGACCCACAGTATCATAACACAACATCCTGAACATTCTGCAGACATTCATGTTCATTAAATCCTATAGTTTCACAGATAAACAAACCGACCTTCTCTCCGCCCCCTCGTTTGGCCTCCTCCCTCCACCTCCTCTCCTCCTCCTGCTTTGCTCGCTCCTCTGCCTCCCGCTTACGAATCTCCTCCAGCTGCTGCTTACGCCGTCGCTCTTCATCCTGCAACTGATAACACACACACACACACACACACACACACACGGAAACAATTAGTACAACATGAATCGCGTGTCATTCATACATAAACTCTGAAAGCCTTTTCACATCAAATGACTCTGGTTAACACCTTGGACACTAAAACTAACATGTTGAATGTAACGTGAGGTTGGATTTGTCTCACAGGACTGCTCCAAAGGGAAGGAGCAGTGTGCACTGCAAACACAGCATAGGCAGTAAGACACACGCGCACGCGCGCACACACACACACACACACACACACACACACACACACACTGCGGAACATGCAGACTACGAACACAACAACGTGCAACAAAAACAAAAGACAGGCCTTCTTTCAGCTACTTGGGGTGTGTTTGATTTTGTTTTATCATAAAACCTTAAAAAGGTCCTTCTGAGGAGGAGAGGAAGAATAACTAAAGCGTACCTGAAGTAACTGCGAGCTAAGTGTATGCTATATATATAGCTATAGCTAGCTATATCGCTATAGCTATATCGCTATAGCTATATAGCTATAGCTATATAGCTATATCGCTATAGCTATATAGCTATAGCTATATAGCTATAGCTATATAGCTATAGCTATATAGCTATA